AAATTATGTGATGTACAGGAAAACAGATGGAACTGGAGAATATTATGTTAAGCGAAGTAAGCCATTCTCAGAAAGATAAGTACTGTAGGTCTTCCCTCATATGTGGAAACAAGTTGGAAAAAAGTAGGGGAAAGGGGATGTCATAAAAGTAGAAGGGAGATCAATAGGGTAGAAGAAGGGGACTGGGGGAATGAGGAAGGGAGGTATTGAGGAATAAAATTGATCAAATTATATGCATGTACCAATGTGTCACAATGAAATTCACCATTCTGTATAATTAATATGTACCAATAAAGAAGTTTGGGATTTTCAGATTAGGGTTATTCAACCAATAAAGTCTATGCAAATATTCCCAAATCCAAAAACTTGCAATTTAAAAATTGCTATGGCTTGCTTTACAGCCCAGTACATGATTTTTAAAAAAATATTTAATGTGTGTTTGAGGAAAATGTAAATTTATTCTACATCCTCAATGTGGAACTCAAATTTATTTATTGTGTGTAATTATTGTTTTAATTTGGGGACCTATTTGACCTATTGAGAGAAACAGCATTAGAGAGCAATCCTTAGATTTGATTTTATTTTACGGCATTGGGGATCAAACCCAGGGCCTCATACATGCTAGGCAAGTGCTCTACCACTGAGCTATATATTCATAACCCCTCTCCTTATATTTAAATTCATCACTTCCAGGGGTATGGAAGGGAAGCAATTGCCCTGGTTAGTCTTTACCTGCTTTCCTAGCTTTACATCTAGCACAGTATTTCTTCCCTGCCCTGAATTACTCCCAAGGAAGTCTGGATTGGAGGTCTACATCAGGGGTGGTGTGCAGGAAGCAAGAGCAGAAATCCCAGAAGTTCCTTTTATATTTTATCCTCCCACACATTTGTGTAAGGGTTGGTCATGGTTTTCCCCTTTCTTAGTGAGTTCCTTTCTTGGTATGTTTGGGGTTGATCTTGGGCAATGGAACAAGCAACTATATTAATTCATCATCTTGTTGGAGACCAAACTGAAACACTATACCTTTCTTTTTGTGGGTCACCTGTAAAATCCTGGAAATGGAATTGGTTGAATATTTCTACATTAAACCTGTGTTACCTTCTGTATTTTTTCATTTCTGTTTATGGCACTGCTAGCATCCAATCACATGAACCAGAGCAATGTTTTGTGGGGATAATAGAAAATATTTGGGAGCATAGCATAAATTAATGGTAAGTATTATTTTGCAAAACTTATTTCATTGGTATGTATACATTCACAAATACTCATAAGTCTGGCTACTTTTTTTTTCTAGTGCTGGGGATCGAAACCAGGGCCTTGTACCTGCTAGGCAAGTGCTCTACTACTAAAGTATGTCCCCAGCCCACAAATATGGATAAGTCCACATGCTGGGCTGTGCTGAAGAATGTATTAATGTGTGTTATAATGTAGAAGCACTGAACCAGGGAAGTATCATTTCCCTAAGAAGAATCTTTTTTCCCACTTTCTTCTGCCTTACCTCCCTTAGCCATTAAATTACCAAAAAATCTGCTGATTTTGTTTCTTCAATAATTCTCATCTTCATCCCATCCTCCTGTTCCTAACTACTACTCTAGTTCCAGCTCTTTCTCTATCAGCCCCTCAGATTTATGCTTCACAATCTCTTATTCTTAACAGAGTAATCTAACTGAAATGTAAATTGAGCTTATTTAATTCCTTCTCTGGTACCCTATTTCCCGTGGATAAATTATGAGATTTATAATGTGACCTTGCCTACCTCTCTGGCATCATTTACTACTATTCCATTGATACTGATAACACCAGACCAGTTTTCTCCCTGCTTTCTGAAGAATTTTACTTTGTTAATTCTGTGTATTTTGTCTGGCATGGGAAGTGGGGGAATCCTTTATTTCCATCTCTTTTTTTCTGGTAAACTGTATCTTATTCATATTCACTCATTCATTCATTCATCTCTCTCTTTCTCCCTCCCCACTCCCACTTCTTTCTCCCTCCTAACCTCTCCCATACTGGAGCTTAAATCCAGGGGCACTTAACCACTGAGCCACATCCTCTGCCCTTTTTTTTTTTTTTTTTTTTTGAGAAGGGTTTCACTAAATTGCCCAGGCTGGCCTCCAATTTGTGATCCTCTTCCTCAGCCTCCTGGGTTGCTGGGATTACAGGTATGTGCCACCATGCCTGGATCATTCATTCTAACTTTGTACAGGAAACCTTCCACCCCACTAGGTTCCTCCTTTGTGTTTCCAGAATATTCTCAGAACCTCTTATTAGAGTTGACTGGTTGTTTTAAATTTATCTATTTAGGTAAATATTTACTTCCTTTATGGAAAGAGCTGGTCATATTCACTTAGTGTCTAAAGCAATGCCTGGCTCATATTGGGTGTTCAATGTTGGTTGAGTGACTGAATATCCAGAAAGTTAAAGTGACTTTTTCAAGATCATGTTGCTTATAGGTTACAAAATTGAACTGGAAAACAAGTACCTCTTTTATAGTCTCATGCTATAGACAAATGCTCCTCCTAATATATTATGTAAACCTGGATAAATACAGTATTTATTGTACATTACTGAATAAATCACTTTAAGCTACTTTGCTAATGACTAGGATGATTATAATTTGCTTTGTAAATAATGAAATTCTTATATACTGTATTGGAGCTTGTTTCTGGTATATTTTTCATGAAATTTATATGTTCACAAACAGTTCAAACTAGATTAAAAAGTCATTTGGAAGAAATAAGAATGGTCTTTTAGGTGAAAAAAAATGTATGTGTGTGTGTGTGTGTGTGTGTGTATAAAATTTGTATGTTGTATGGTGCTAGAGATCAAACCCAGGGCCTTGAATATGCTAAGTACACACTGTACCACTGAGGTACATTCCCAGTCCCAGTGACATTCTGATAGCTCAGGTAGATAAAAAATTGTGACACATTCCAGGCATGTTATTTAAAAGATTATTTGAGCTAGAATGCCTGAGGATGGAAATGGCAAAATTTGGAAAATTACACTGTAGGAGTAGCTCAATAAATGTGTGAATCAAATTTGTATTTATAAGCACCAGCATATGATTCTTGTGCTCTTAGGTTCTTCCAATTTCTGTAGCATACATATTGCAGATATCAGTTGGTGATACTAAGATACAAAAACTAAGACCAATTTGTGGAAGGATAGAGACAGTTATTTCAATCTGGGTTTATTTTCAATTTCAGATTTCTTTAAAGAAATAGAAATTATAGTACAACTATAGTACAAAATTAAAAATGTGGGGAAAAAGTAGAAGTTATAAAGGAAAAGGAAAAGCATCATAAAGCTGAAATAGTATATTCTGATGTTCTGTTTATGATAAATGCGTAGAAAAAATAGATGCATAGGATATGAGTTGAATTTTTTTGTAGTGCTGGGGATTAAACCTGGGCCCTTGAGCATGCTAGGCAAGCACTCTACCACTGAGTCACATTCCCAGCCCATGAATTGAATTTTTAAAAAATATATTCTTGAACTTTGTACTCCATGAAAATTTTTTGGTTATATAGATTCCAAAGTCTATTGATAATAATGATGATATGGATGTCACCTGGGTTAACTCATAGAAGGTTCAAACCATAATGTCATAGAGGCTGCCCTTTAACTTGAATTCTCAGAAACACAATCTGATGGCAGAGAGAAAGTGGATTTATCTCCTGGGAAGTTATATTAACCAAGATCATAAGTTATATATAATGAGAGCTGTAGTTGCTAAAGGAACCAGACACTTGATTCCTCTAGGTATATATTTTCTTCCTATAGTGTTGTATACTAGCCTAATAATTTTAAAACATTTCAATATTTTAACTGATGGCTCTTTTCACCTATAAAAAACCACAATGCTATTATCACACCTAACAAAATGAAAAATTTCTGTTTTTCATTTCCTTTTTTAAAAAAATTATTGGTGCATTATAATTACACATAATAGTGGGATTCATTTTACCATATTCATACATGCACATAATTTGATCAGTCTTATTCCCCAATACCTTCCCTTTCTCTCCTTTCCTCCACCATCTACTAGTTCTTCTCATATCCCATTATTTATTATTATTATTTTAGTGCAATGCAATTATATGTATAAGCAGGATTCATTGTAGTATGTTCATACACAGACACATAGCATGATTTAGTAGATTTTGTTCCCCAGTACTTCCCCATGCCCTCTCCTCCTGCCTCCTTCTTGATCCCCTTTCTCTACTCTATTGTTCTTTCTTCTGTTTTTGTGAGATCCTCTCCCTCCCAACACCTAAGAGAGGAAAACATTCAATCCTTGACTTTCTGAATCTGGCTTATTTCACTTAGCATCATGTTCTCAAAAATAGGGAATGCCTCACAAATTTGTGTGACTTCCTTGTGCAGGGCCCATGCTAATATTTTCTTTATTATTCCCATTTCAGTATCTGTACTACCAAAGTGAGCACTGATAAATTCTTTTTTTTTTAAAAAAGAGAGTGAGAGAGGAGAGAGAGAGAGAGAGAGAGAGAGAGAGAGAGAGAGAATTTTTAATATTTATTTTTTAGTTCTCGGCGGACACAACATCTTTGTGGTGTCCGAGGATCGAACCCGGGCCGCACGCATGCCAGGCGAGCGCGCTACCACTTGAGCCACATCCCCAGCCCATAAATTCTTTAATATTACCTAATATGCTCTATGTATGTGAGTGTGAATTTCCCCAGTTTTCTAAAAAAAGTATTTTTACAGGGATCCAAACAATGTCTACACATTATATTTGGTAGATATGTCCTTGTGCCTTTTCTATAACAGTTTCCTTTCCCTTTTCCCTCCTTTCTTGTGTTTTTCCCTCATTGGGAGGGGAAAAATGTCCTATTTATTTTCTTATTATATTACAAAGTCAAGGAGATTAAGAACTTATATTTTAGCACTGAGAGCTGTGCCTGGCACCCCATAGACATTTAATTGATTTTTGTTGAGTAATATTAATAATATTTCAAGTCTGTGTTTTATCCCTGCAGGTTGATCCAAAAGACTACATGTTCAGTGGACTGAAAGATGAAACAGTAGGTCGCTTACCTGGGAAAGTGGCTGGACAGCAGTTTCTTATTCAAGACTGTGAGAACTGTAACATCTACATTTTTGATCATTCTGCTACAGTTACCATCGATGACTGTACTAACTGCATAATTTTTTTGGGACCTGTGAAAGGCAGTGTGTTTTTCCGGAATTGTAGAGATTGCAAGTGCACATTAGCCTGCCAACAATTTCGCGTGCGGGATTGTAGAAAGCTGGAAGTCTTTTTGTGCTGTGCCACTCAACCCATTATTGAGTCTTCTACCAATATCAAGTTTGGCTGTTTTCAGTGGTACTACCCTGAATTAGCTTTCCAGTTCAAAGATGCAGGGCTAAGTATTTTCAATAATACATGGAGTAACATTCATGACTTTACACCTGTATCAGGAGAGCTCAACTGGAGCCTTCTTCCAGAAGATGCTGCGGTTCAGGACTATGTTCCTGTACCTACTACTGAAGAGCTCAAAGCTGTTCGTGTTTCTACAGAAGCCAACAAAAGTATCGTTCCAATATCCCGGGGTCAGAGACAGAAGAGCAGTGATGAATCATGCTTAGTGGTATTATTTGCTGGTGATTATACTATCGCAAATGCCAGGAAACTAATTGATGAGGTAAGGAGAGAAAAGAAAAATAGACATACACCTGGGCAGAAACACACCACTCTGGAGAACTTCCATTCTTTTCAAATTGGCTATTAGAAATACTGGCAACCCCCAAGTTACAGTCCTCTGTCCCACCTCTGCAAGACTTGTCTGTAAGCAGGTTACTTGGTCTTCAAAATACGTTTCTAGAGAAAAAAATTCTTAAAAATGTAATTTAATTTTGTAAACATTTATTAAGTGCTGATTATGTACAAAAGTTAGTCTGTTGCCATATTTCATTGATTATATGATGCATATTTGTTTTCCACATTTTTGCATGTCTTAAATGCATCTTATAATTGATGGCAACTTAGATATAATGAAATGTAGTATATGCTGAAAAAGGAGATACACAGGCAAAATTATCTGTCCTCAAAGAATTTCCATTCTTGGGGCTGAGGATATAGCTCAGTTGGTAGAATGCTTGCCTCACATGCACAAGGCCCTGTATTTGATCCCCAGCACCACAAAAAAAGGAAAAAAAAGAATTTCCACTTTTTAGAATGAATGACTTCCACAAAAGTTCATAAAAGTAGTAAATAATAAAATATGGACTTTTATAATTTAGTTTGAAAATTTATTTGGAGTTTTAATTGGTTAGGGAATGGAAAAGACTTTTAGGAATAAAACATTTGGACCCTTTGAGAGCAACTTTCACATCATGCTCCTTAGATTCTATTGCCTTATTGCCCTAGAAGGAAGGTAGGTATGGAAGACAAGATGAGTCTGGGATGACAAAGTTTTTAGGAATATGAACAGCAGCTCTTGGTGAGCTCCTGAGTAGAGAAGCTTGAAAATCTCATGAGCTTTCACCTGAAAAATAATTAGGATGTAGAAGTCAGGGGCTACAGAAGCAGCAGTTCCATCATTGGGTATTCTGTTAGGGAGTGGCAATAGGATATATTGAATATCCATTAATCAGAAGTCCTTTAGGAGGACTCTGTTTGAATTCAGTAATCAAATTCCAAAAACAGAAATGAAAGGAAAATTCATGGAGTCTCTTTAAAGGAATTAAAAAAGAACATAGCAAAGGGATTAATTTTAGGGAAAAAAGTAAAAATGACTGCCTCTTTTTAGCTGTACATCTACAATGTAGAAAACCCATGCTTGAAATCCATAAAGTATATCTGAGGCATAGTTTTCAAAACAATAGAAGTCAAATTGTGATTTAAAAACTTTGATATGGGCTGGGGATGTGGCTCAAGCGGTAGCGCGATTGCCTGGCATCCGCGCGGCCCAGGTTCGATCCTCAGCACCACATGCAAAACAAAGATGTTGTGTCTGGCGAGAACTGAAAAATAAATATTTTTAAAAAAAGTCTCCTTCCATTTAAAATAAATAAATAAATAAATAAAATAAAAACTTTGATATTTTCTTTTGTGCTGATGCCAATCTGATAAAAGCATTCTATGAATCTGAAAAGATAGTTTAAAAGCCAGAAGCACATTTTTCTATCTAGTCACATGTTAATCTAACATCTGAGAAGTAAATGTTTTCATTGTACTATATAGTTATTTTTTTAACAATCTACATACAGTTTTCAAAACAGTAATTATTTAGGATTAACATCTTTTGGGTAGGAAATCAGGAATGTAGATAAAGAATATTTAACATGCTTAAAGAAAAAAGCCATCAAACAGTCTCTGTGAGTCATCAGATGTTCTTAACTGTTTGATCTTGGGTATCTGATTATGAAATGACAGTGTTGTGTACCCTCCAAAGGAATATGACTAGGAAGAGAGTGATGCAGATATTTTTCCTGGAATACAAATTAAAAATTCCACTGTGATAATCATAATAAGAGCTAATGCTTACATAGTGTTTACTATATGCCAGCCACTGTTATAAGAGATTTTAATAAATCAACTCGGTGTTCAAAACAACCCTATGAAATAGCTGCTATTATTCCCCATTTGACTGACAAGAAAAAAATCAACCATAAAGAGGGTAAGTAACTTTTTTAGGCTATAGTCTCAATCCTTAAACATGATGCTATTATGCTGCCTCAGTGGTAAAGGAAAGTTGATAAATGCCTGATGGAATAGAAATATGACCCAAAGTCCATGGACTCAAGGGTCCTCCAACCTAGGGATTGTTTGGCTAGAGTTACCTAATTCTTAAAGTAAGGAATAAAAGAGAAAAATAAGAAAGAAAAATAAAATGCCAAGTACATGTGAAAAGAATAGAAAAACATGCTGAAAGACAAATGACCTATATATTAAGAGAGATTACATATTTTTAAAAATGAAGTTTGAGTTCCTTGGGAAATATATATAGAACACAAATTCTGGCATGAAAAAAAAAACTTAAGTTTTTCTCATAACACACATATATTAGGATAACATAGACTAGAAATGTGATTGCAAACTCTAGTTTTGTTAAAACCCAGGAATATCACAAAATTTTATTTCACATTTCTTTTATAAATTAAACATCACAATGGGTGGGATTTTTTTCTGTATAAAAGTTGAGAAGGTAGAAATTCTGGGAAGCCTGGTTTAAGCAGAAAGCACATTCCATAAGGAGTCAAAATAAGTTACTGAGTCTTGGTTTTCTCAACTAAAAGATTTCTTACTTGCTCTTATATACATCACAGATATGTACAGGATGAATTTGAGTAAGAGTAGTTTAAATTATTAGAAAGAATTTCATAATTGAAGTTGGTTAGTTACCACTATTTTTTAATATCTTTATTTTACATTTTTTATGTGGTGCTGAGGATCAAACCAGGTGCTTTGTGCATGCTAGGTGAGCGCTCTACCACTGAGCCACAACCCCAACCCTATTACCACTATTTTCAAGTCCTGAACAGTAGAAGAATTTTCATGAAAAGGGGTCTCTTCAAGTACCTTCAGTGAAATATTAAAATATATACAGTTTCATAGCTCATTATTTGGTTTAGAAAAATGATATTTTGAATTAATCATAATTTTGTCAGTGTACATATGACTGTAAAAATGATAGGTGATGAGCAGTCTAGAAAATTAAAAACTGGTTGAATTGTTTCTGATGTTTTAAGTGGCTTTATAGTCATCATCTGGTAGTGATGTACATGCAATTTCCTGCAATTATTAAGTGTATGTTTCTTTTTTTCTGAGATAGCATTAATCTGAGATAGGATTCAAGTTTGATCCAGTTTGGTGGAATGGTATGGAATAATGTAGTTATAGGATGAAATACTATCAGACATTAACATTGATTTTATAGTAGAGTAGCTGAAAAATGCTCACAATCAAGTATGTAAAATTTTGTGAAATATTATGTAAGCAACTTGATTTAAAAAAATAAGTGTGGAAAGTTATACATATTAAAATATTGACAGTTGTGGTTATTCTTAGCAAGTTGGTTAAGAGCAGGGTTTTCCCTTTTTTTGTAGTTCTCTGGATTTTACAAAGAACATGTATTAATATTGTAATGGGGGAATGGGAGAAAAAGAAAACTAGGAGGGTAAGAAATCTGTATACCTATATGGCAAGTGCATCGTTGAGTAGTAGCACCTTGATTTATATTTTTTTGTTTCTGTTATTTATTTTCAAATTTTATGCTGAGCATATGTACTATTTTTTATTATTAAAAACCCAGTAAGCTTGTCTAGTGGTTGTAATGACCTTGCCTTTTTTAAACTTACTTTCACAATTATTTTTAAAATTAATATGTACTCATTGTAGTGAACCATAGAAATAAAAATGAATTAAAAATAAGTTTAAAAATCATCCATAACTGTACTATACCTTGAATAGTCTTTTTAGGAATAAGTTTTAGAATTATTTAACCTGTAGTTACATGAAGTGGGTCAAATCACAGCTGTGTTACTTAATTTGGCACATTTCTTAACCACTCTGTGCCTTAGTTATCATTTGTACAATGATACTAGTAATGGTACCAATCTTATTAGAGAATTAATGTTATATATGTAAAGTGCATAAAACTCTTTGGTACATAGAAATGTGACCTATCATTATTGAGCTATACTGTATAAATTTGGATTATGCTTTTTAAGATTGACATTATTATACAAGATTTCCCCCATCATATTAAAATATCTTTGTTTTGTGTGTGGGAGGGGGGGTACTAGGGACTGAATCCAGGGCTTTGCATATGCTAGGCAACTGCTCTGCCACTGAGCTATATTACCAGCCCTCTTTGTTATATTTAATGAACTATGATAAATGAAATGAACTATGGTATTTCATCACGTAAATAAATGTACATAATTTACTTAATAGGTCTCTTCTCATTGGACATTTGCTGTATCACCAAAGTAAAGCTTCTATTTATTAGATTCAATTTAAAAGTTAATTATGTTTTAAATTGAGGGACAATTCATATTTATTTGACTCTTAATCAGCAGTAGGCATTACAGTTTCAATTCTTAACCAGACCACCCATCTGGAATAAGGAATCTTGTGTATGTGAGAACTTGTTACAGCAAATACACTGAATTAGAGTCATAACTGTTGCATTTTATACAGAAAAATTCTATAATAGGAAAACATTGTTGTAATCTCAGAAGTTCAATTTAAAATCTAAATGAAATTTTATTTTCCACAGATGGTTGGTAAACACTTTTTCCTAGTCCAGACAAAGGAAGTGTCCATGAAACCTGAGGATGCTCAAAGGGTTTTTCGGGAAAAAGCACCTGACTTCCTTCCTCTTCTGAACAAAGGTACCTTCCAGATGATTAGTGTACTTTTGTGGTTATTTTCTTGACCTCAGATTTGATTTACTCTTAACATTTCTCTTACATTGCCTTCTTTTTCTCATTTGTTCTATGTTTTTTCCTGGTACTGTTCAGAAATGTCAAATTTTCATATCATTCAAGAAGCCCTACATAAGTGACTAGAAATTGGGCATTAGTTTTTTCCCTGTTCTATGTTCTTAATACTTAAGAGTCACATGTTATTATGTATTTTGTTACTTTTAGTTTGTCAAAGATGTACTTTGATCATACTGAAAAAGAAATAAGAAATATAATAAAGTGTTATAGTATTTAATGTGCTTAATATAATTAACTTCCCATGTAGAAAGTTAATGCTATCAATAATTTTAGATACTGGATATGTCTAAAAAAATTGGAGTTTATATGCCCTCTGGAAGGGTTGATGTCTGTCTATCTGTATTTGGAGTTATACTGATTCTACAGGACAGAGTATTATTTATCTGCTCAGAACAGGGACATTGTCTGCTCAAAGTACATCAGGATTTTCTTGACTGGCATGAGCAAATATCAATAGTGATATGCAGTGCTTATTGGTGTACCTTAAAGACAGAGTACATGTACATGTATATGTTCTTTATGTTTAAATAAATTATAACAAACTACAAAAATCTGTGTGAAAATGTTGGAGGACTGTTAAAATAAATTTCATAAGTAATGCTGGGTGTTATTCAGCTATTACATATTAACTCAGGGGCTGGGGCTGTATGTAGTTCAGTGGCAGAGTACTTGCCCAGCATGCATGAGGCACTGCGTTCTATCCTCAGCACCATATAAAAATAAAAAACAAATAAAATAAAGGCATTCTGTCCATCTACAACTATAAAAAATTAACTCAGCATTTCATATATTTGTAAATATATATATTATATATATATATATATACTTATAAATCTTAGAGTAAATTGGTGATAACCATGTTTATATACACGTGTGCATATGTATATAAAATTATGACCTAGCCCCAATGATGCAAACATTTTGACACGGGAACCTTCAAATGGAACCTTAAATATGAACCTTTAAACTCTTAACAGCTTCCAGAAATGAAATGACATAATAAGTGGACATCCTCAAGTGTGAGGGTTAGGAATAAAGTGAACATATGGGTAGGTCTAAATTAATGATTTATGTATTTTTGTGATGTTAGTGAAGTAGTATCATAGAAATGCTCTAATCCAAATAATAATATCTGCATTTAAAAAACAGAATGTTCCACAAGGAAGTGGTAAAATGTCCTGTTGCTGCAAAAAGTAGAACTAAAGTGAATGAGCAGATGTTATAGAAATTTCAGGAAATAAACATGGACAGATCTTTAAAACCATAGTTGCCCATAGGAAGTACTTAAAAACTGATGTGGTCATGTCACAAGGTCACAAAAGCCAACTTGAAGGAGGAGTTTTCAGTGATCAATTTTGGTGACAATTTGGCCATCTAAAAGAATAGCGGGTTGGAGATGTAGGTTAGTGGTAGAGCAGTTGAGTGCTTACCTAGCAGTGTGAGGCCCTGGGTTCAATCCCAGTGCCAAAAAAGTGAAGATACTAACTTAACAATAAAAGAAATCCATGCATCCATGGTGATAAAAAAGGAGAGGGAATAAAGGAACAGTCATCTATTTACAGAATATTGTGAGCTAATGGATGTAGAAGAAATGATGTATACTTTGGAAATCACCATTTTTCAACCTCAATGTAATAATTATTTCACACAAAGATTATCAGTGGATGCTAAAATTATGGGAGGGGAGTTGCTAAGAAATAGGATATTTGTACATTCTGATTTAAAGGGGGAAATCTTACAGCAAAGATTTGATGATCACCTTGTTAAAGTAATGATCAAAAGTAACATCAATGATGAACAGTTTCACATTGTGTTTTCCCTGATGTAATGCAATGAAAAATATGCCACATCACCTGGGAAGTGTTTTTGCCAAAAGACTTAAGAAGTTAAGAAAAGACTTAACTTCTAGTTTATGGGAAGGAAAGGAAATAAGTTAAATGATACCATGAAGAAACAAATTAGACAAATCCAAAACAAGACATTCTGCAAGACAACTGGTTGTTTCTTTAGACAGTGTCATGGAAAACAAAAATATGGAGGAACTCTTCTAGATTAAAGATTCTAAACATAACAACTGAATGCGATGAGTGAACCTTGATTGGATCTTGGATTGGGGTGGGTGGGCTATAATGCTATAAAAGGCATTTTGAGGACAACTGAGGAAATTTGAAGATGGTATGGATTATTATTAATTTCTGTAGGTATGTCACTTTTCCTTAAATGATGGTAATTGTGGTTATATAGCAGATGCAGGCTGTATCATGATGTCAGTAAAACAAAACAAAGCATTTGTGTGCACGTGATATATAGCAAGTAATAGAGCAAATGTGGCCAAACTTTGATTTTTGGTGGGTGTAGGGGGAAGGCAAATGGATATTTATGTTCTTCTTTAAACTCTTGTATAATGCATGAAATTTTAAAAAATTACAAGTTGGGGAAAATTTTTAAGCTGCCTAATTGGAAGAGTGAGCATGCTGTCAGCATAGATATTCCAACAGAGTGGAATGCAATGGGTCCTTATATTAGTCATTCTGAGATAGAGTTCTCGATCTTGGCATTGTTGACATTTTAGGTCTCCTACTTCTGTTATGGGTGGCTATCCTGTACATTATAAGATGTTCAGGAACATTTCTGGCCTCAAACCACTGGATATTAGTAGTTCCAGTTGTGGCATCCAAAGTGTTTCCAGACATTACCAAATGTCCTCTAGGGGGCAAAATTGCTCCCAGTTGAGAACTACTGTTCTAAGAGTGAACTTTTAAAAAAATTCACTTTTATCTTAGTTTGTACCTCAGAGTCTCTATATTTTCCTCTTCATTTAAAGTAGTCACCATTATTTATTTTTATTTAATGAATTATTGTTTTTGTTTTGTTTTTTGGTGCCAGGGATTGAATCAAGGGATGCTTAACCACTGCGACACATCCCTAGCCCTATGTATTTTGAGACAGGGTCTCACTAAGTTGTGGAGGCTGGTCTTGAGCTTGGCATCCTCTTGCCTCAGCCTCCTGCGTTGCTGGGAATACAGATGTGTGCCACATGCCTAGCTTTTTAAATAAAGCTTTTTGGCCCAAATAAGATAATTCATTATTCTTCATTTTGAGAACTTTCCAAACCCAAAAAATCCTCAGAACTATCTAGGGTGCTTTTAAAGATATAAATGTCCAACTTCCACCTCAAAAAGAATGATTCAAAAATCTCTGAGACATACCTTTAGAATCTGAATGTTTAAGTTCCCAGATGGTTCTGAAAACTAATTAGATTTGGGTTCCTTTGTTTTAGAGTCATTCATTCAACAAACATAGTAGATGAGGTCTGAGAAGTAGCAGAGGAATTAAATGATGTAAGAACTTCTAGGCACCGTAGAGATTTTGCATTCTAGTCTCAATGACATGAAAAGCTACTGGGCATTTTTATTTGTGGGTTTTTTTTGTCTTTTTAAAATGAACTTTTATAATGAAATGATTTTAGGATTATAGGTAAATTATAAAGCTAGCACAGAGAGTTTCTGTATAACCTTTACCTGGCTCTGTCTAATGTTAACATAGCCATGTTATATTCGTCAAAACTAAGAAATTTACATCAGTAAAATGCTGTTTAACTTCAACTATAGAATTTATTCAGATTTCACCAATTTTTCTACTTATGTCATTTTTCAGTTTCAGAATTCAGTTCAGGATCCCACACTGTTTTTACTTGCTGTGCCTCGTTAATCTCCTCCAATCTCTGATAGTTCCTCAGTCTGTCCTTTTTTATAACCTTGACTTTTTTGAGCAGTTCTGGTCAATTATTTTGAGGAATGTCCCTCAACTTGGGTTTGATGTTTTGTCTACTTAAACCAGAGTTATGGGTTTTGGAGAGGAGGCGAAGTGCCCTTGTTTACATATAACATCATGAGGCACAGGATATCAATATGAGTTGGTATCTGCCAGGTTTCTCCTCTGAAAAGTTTCTGTTTCTCTTCCATACTCTAGTCTTTGGAAGTGAATCACTAAGACTAGCCTAAATACAAGGAGAGAATTAAGCTCCTCCTTCTGGAGGAAGCAGTATCCATATACATTATTTGTAATTCTTCTGTAAGAGATTTGTTCTTTCTCCCTCGTTCATTTATTCAACAGTTTATTTCTATCAGTGTTGACTCATGGCTATGTATTTTATTGTTTGGTTATAATCCAATATTATCAAGTTGTTCCAGTTTTAACCATAGGGAGCTTTTCTGGATTGAGTTCTCTGTCCCTTTGACATATTCCTATCCTTTTGATTTTTTAATGCTTCTTTACCTTCTGGCTCTAGAAGATATTCCAAGCTCATCCTGCATTTTCTTTGTCCTAGAAATAATGTCACCCATTTCTCTAAGGAACCCTGATGACTTGTATTTTAGAATGGTTGGAAACCAAGATCTGGGTGTTAGATGTACCCATTACTCCTGGGATACCACTGGTTCTAGGCCTTTTCAATGCACAGAAGTAGAAAATACATGTTTGATTATTAACCCATATATACATGATATCTATAATTCATTCTTTTATCTATCTGTATATACATTCAAATATCTTTGACCCTATTCCAGCACCACAGGGTTCATCTTAGCCTCTCTTCTTGAATCTTACTCAAAGTGAATTATTTGGCTCCCATTATCTATAATTTAGTCATGCATTTGTTTGTCCCTAGCATACATAAAATGTAGTTTTAGAGTTACTAACCCATAACCTTGTGAGAAATTTATTTACCAACTAGAGTGCAATGGTCTTAAAGTAACCACTCAAAACACAGTTCAGTCTGCATGGTTTTGATAGATGTATAGCATTCACCACCGCATAACATAGAAGGCAGTTACAGCCTACAAATTTCCCTCATGTGGCCCCTTTATAGTCAGTCAACCACAGCTCCC